TTGAAATAGGATTTTTATTTTGGACAGCTCTATTGTTTGTAGACAAAAGTATTCCATTTTTATCTTTTCCAGGTGCACAGTTTCTGTCTACCTTAGAGCATGATTTACTGCGAGGTGTTGGTGGAAGATTAGACTCTCTGTTAGGACAATGTATGTATTTTGGATTGTCATTTAGTCGCGTTGGAGCTGATTTTAGAGGTCTCTTGGCACCGATATTCCAAAATGCTGCTCTTAATTATTTCCAAGTTGCTTTGAAAATTGCAAATAAAAAGTAAGTATATGACGCTTTTTCAGTTGATATTTTTCACTTCATAAATTGTTTTACATCCTGCTTTTGCTCCTCCTGATTGAGCTAATGAAGAGCACCAATAAGCTACGAAAATGCTGAAATTTTTTGTCTGACAACAGCACAATTAGTGGCATATTTTCCTCAAGTTCTGTCCTGTCAGAACAAATGAACACTTTATTCATGTCAGCCCGTGTGACCTAAGTAACTGACAGACAGACACCTGGTTGATAAAAATACAGAATATTTTTAAGTTTTCAATTTTTTCCAGGTTTGAAGAAAATATGGAATCCTATAATTTATTAGGAGTATCAAGTACAAGTAGCAATATACCTTATTCTTCTCAGGTATGTTAAATATAATAGAATACCTTATTCTTCTCAGGTATGTTAAAAATAGTAATATACCTTATTCTTCTCGGGTATGTTAGCAATAGTAATATACCTTATTCTTCTCAGGTATGTTACCAACAGTAATATACCTTATTCTTCTCAGGTATGTTAGCAATAGTAATATACCTTATTCTTCTCAGATATGTTGAAAATAGTAATATACCTTATTCTTCTCGGGTATGTTAGCAATAGTAATATACCTTATTCTTCTCGGGTATGTTGAAAATAGTAATATACTTTATTCTTCTCGGGTATGTTAGCAATAGTAATATACCTTATTCTTCTCAGATATGTTGAAAATAGTAATATACCTTATTCTTCTCGGGTATGTTAGCAATAGTAATATACCTTATTCTTCTCAGGTATGTTGAAAATAGTAATATACTTTATTCTTCTCAGGTATGTTAAAAATAGTAATATACCTTATTCTTCTCAGGTATGTTACCAACAGTAATATACCTTATTCTTCTCAGGTATGTTAAAAATAGTAATATACTTTATTCTTCTCAGGTATGTTAGCAATAGCAATATACCTTATTCTTCTCAGGTATGTTGAAAATAGTAATATACCTTATTCTTCTCGGGTATGTTAGCAATAGCAATATACCTTATTCTTCTCAGGTATGTTAAAAATAACAATATGCCTTATTCTTCTCAGGTATGTTAAAAATAACAACATACTTTATTCTTCTCAGGTATGTTAGAAATAGTAATATACCTTAGTCTTTTCTGCTATGTTAAAAATAACAACATACTTTATTCATCTGGGGTACTTTTTTGAGTTCTACAACAACAACAAAAATATGGTTTACTCAGCTGTATCCTTCAGGCAGCTTAATGTAATAATATTAACAGCTGTCAGTGATTATTTATTCCAGTCTAGTCAGCTGTATCCTCTAACTGCTTATTGTAATAGAATATCTACAGCTGTCAGAATTTACTATATTTCAGTCTAGGATGATATATTACCAGCTGTCATGGATTACATTATTTCTGTCCAATCAGTTGTGTCTATTATATTCACCTTTATGTCAGCTGAAATTACTAGCAGCTTGCTGAAATATAATATTAACAGCTGTCAATTACTTTACTTCAGTCCTGTCAACTGAAATTACTAGCAGCTTGCTGAAATATAATATTAACAGCTGTCAATTTCTTTATTTCAGTCCTGTCAACTGAAATTACTAGCAGCTTGCTGAAATATAATATTAACAGCTGTCAATTTCTTTATTTCAGTCCTGTCAACTGAAATTACTAGCAGCTTGATGAAATATAATATTAACAGCTGTCAATTTCTTTATTTCAGCCCAGTCAGCTGTATCCCCCAACAGTATTACTGGATTTTCACCCACTAGCAGCTTATTGTAATAATATATTAACAGCTTTCAATGATTTAAGATTATGTGCTCCTATTAATTTAGCCTGTAATGTAGCTGAATCACTACAGAGATCCTTGATGGAGATCAACAGAGTTATATTAGCTTTTTATAGGTAAGACTTTCTTGTTGTTGTGTGGGGTTTATTTCAAAGCTTAACTCTTTTTCAACCTTGTCAGTGATGCAGGTAAGGGGCTGACATGGAAAAAACATCTAGTCTTTGGAATGGAACAATAAACTGAGGGCCCATGTGCTACAGGCTTAAGATCCCTCGAGAGCTGGAAATCAAAAAAGAGTAGGCTTATGCAGCCTTTCTGGCAAAATTTCCCTCATTGCATTCTGTATGGCCTTGCCAGTCTTCGTTAGTCCAATTATGTGCAGAAAATTCCATTCATTTCATTTCATTTTATTTTTTTAAAACTTTCCTTAGTGTCTTGTTTGTGTGGAGTTTATTTCAAAGTGTACCTCAAAATGCGCAGGAAAAAAAATTATATTCTAATTATCTCCCCTTCTTCACTGCCTTTAATTGATATACTTTTATAATAATTCATTAGCATTTCCTAGCCATCTGTACCTATGGTGGATTTTTTTCATCTGAAATGCATTAGATGAGCTTTTGGCATTTGAAACAAATTCAAACATAATTTTTGTCCCAAGAATATTGTCAATAGTAGTTTCATTGACTTGTGATAAATTTTGATTTTTGCTAATAAAATATATTTACCAAATCTTTCATATGGAAATTTCCTTATTATTAATTTTTGGATATTTTGTAGAGCTGAAGAAACAACATTTAATGTAGAAGAGAAAGATCAGTTTGGACAGTTCTGTGCAACCTATGTGGTAGATCTGTTACCCTATATCAATAAATGTTTACTAGCTCTGTTTCCAACCAACCAGATTTCTCAAATATTGGGTGTACCTGTTTCTGATTTAACTAGAGAGGTCAGTACTGTTTTTCCACCTTCACAATGTCAAGCTATTACAAACTTTGTCTTATACTTTGACTGCAATAGCCACCTTTCTTGTATTACTGTGTTTTGTAAATGCAGTAATTTGATTGGTTTGTACGCTAGCAAATATAACCATTCAGAGGCCTCTGTAGAAACACACAGCCATAATGTTTGTAAGGGCTCTGATTGGTTGTATTCAATTATGTACAATCTAATAGAATTACTACAAGAAAGGAAATACAAGAAAGATGGCCATTGCAGTCAAAGTATATGTAAAAAGTCTGTAAAAGCTTTATGAAGATGCAATTACAACATTTTCTGGTTTTGTTACTGGAGCTACATTTATTCATTCTGATATTCCAGGGAAAAGTTTGTCAGGTGGACATCCCAGAAATTATGAAACAAGTTGATCACCTGCTACCCAAACAGGAAGTCAAGCCACCTACACCACCTTTAAGTCCTAAGTTACCAATTAACAAACCATTGCCAGACATAAACACATCCTTAGCACCCAATATCAATCCAAATGTTGATCCTGTTTCTAAGGAAAATGAAACCAGCCAATCTGTGACTCAGCAAGATTTTATCCTATCAGACGACAGTAAACCTGAAACATCTAATGACCAATCAGAGACTGTTGAAATCAAAACTGACCAATCAGAGGCTATGTCAGAATTATCGTCTGCAACCATGCTCTCTGAACCTCTGAAGGATCTCATCCCAGAAATTAATGAAGCACCGCTTTCCCCTCAGCCAGACAGATTTGAGCCTAAAAAGACTGAGGGATGGAGTGAACCAATATCTCTTACTCAAGACATAGATCTAAATTTAGCCTCAGACTTAGCAAGTGATGTGTTGCAAAGTTTACCTGATGTTGTTGGTTCAGACTTGGCTAAACCGAAAGAAAGTTTGAAGAAGCAAGATTAACTAAATTGTGTATATTTTAAGAGAATATTTTTTGCCAGGAGTCCATTTGGCCATAAGTCTGTGCAAAAAAGATTCACTTGTGGCATTTTTTTTGTTTAGAAAATGGGGTATATATTGGTAATATTGTATATTGTTCTGGCTTGTGTTGAAATAAAATGAAAAATGTCATCATTATAATATTTGTGGTTTTATGTTGTCTTTTGGCTTCTAAGGATAGATCTCTGTATCTGTATGATTGGACCACATTGGGCATTGATTCAGGATTCTTTAGAAAAAGGCTTCTTGCATGCCAATATAAGGTACAAAAAGAATTTTCTATTCTCATGGGGACATAGTCTAATCAACTCCATCTTGTGTTGCAAAATGAAAACTGCTAGGGGCAGTTGTCAAAAGGACAAAGGGAAACCATATTGCCATTTTCATCTTTCTTTTTTTTAAACCACCACTCATTAAATCTACCAGCATTCACTGCTGCCAAAATTTTTTCCTGGATTTTATAACGAATACGTTTGTGCTTCTTGTATTTCCACTAAAACTAATACGTTTGATGAGCTCACGGAGGATACTATTGCTATCTATGTAGTTCCCCTCTAGTGACGTCATAAAACACCAGATTTTGTCTTGATTTTTTTCAAATTTAAGGATGATTAGATTCAGTATTAAAGGGATTATTAGAGGTTTTCTAAACTTTTTATGTGTAACGGGGACACTAATAGCATCAATTTGCACCATTCCAATTTTCATTCTGACGTCTGAGGTTCTAATTCCACTAAAACTAACTTGTTTTATGACATTGCTAGAGGGGAACTGCATATATATATTATCAGAGATCCCTTGAGTTTACAAACATTTGACAAATATCGTTGGCCTCCCTTAGATCAAGGTTTCTCAGGAAAATAAATGGTTAAATCAAAAGAAATTAATCTTTCATCAAATTTTATTAACAAATGAAATGAAATATGATCAATGAAGCAAAATGAAATGTTAGAGGACAGGTCAAGGTCTATCCTGATTGGTTTTGGAATTAATTTCTTCACCAAAAATATTAATCAAAGCAAACCATGTGGTGAGGTTTCAATTTCAAATTTAAGGTTTTAAAGATGGGTTTCCTTATTTTTTATTGTCAAAGCAAATTATTTGATTATTTGGTGTTTGAATTATCATGTAATCTTAATCATATCATTATGTTCTTATTGCATATGCCAATCATAAATGTCCATGTATCTACAGTCTGGATAAACAAAAGAGACTTTTTGACCATTCTTGGATCAGTCACTCATTTTGCTAGTAATTCTCTTCTAATTTAGCTAATTATGAATTAATTATGGACATATGTGACAAACTAATATTTTTTCAAGTCATTAGAACACCTCTTCTTTCTATTCATATAAGTATTAGCGTTTTCATTGAAAACTGAAAATAAGGGAACCCATCTTTAATCTTCAAAGAGGGATGCAGTAAATCCCTTCCTTGAAAACAACGGCTGTTTAGCTTCTTCCCTATTAGCTACTCTACTGTAATGAACTCTTCCCCATATTGCACAACTGTGACACTATAAATTCAACATAATACTATTGAACTCTACTCTATTTTTCTTATGTTTCATACACTTAAATAGGTTCAAAACCTACACATGCATGTTTACTTGGTGGGTCACTTTTTAAATGTTCAAAATCATAATGTCATGACAAATTTCAATGGTATTTGCAAAACCCCCCTGGGCCTCTTACTCTTTTTGAGGATTATAGATCTTTACTATGTACAAATGTTAAAAAAGACATAAAGGAATCAAAAAGCCAGTTTTTTCATCATGAGGTAGACATGAGAATCCACCTCGAAACCGTGAAGATTGTTTGGATCACCTTTTAGTCTCATCAATAAGCCACCAAATGATATAAAGGCTGCCCTGAAAATACAAAATAATCAACATTACATGAATAAATTTTAGGCAACATATACTGCGGTGAGGAATTCACACTTGCCCCATTGTAACAATCTATTATGAACCATGTCTTCTACCTTGACTGCAATAGTCACTATTCATGCATAACAGAATGTTGGATTGTATGCCAGCAAACACAGCTAATCAGAGCCCTAGACGCTGTAAACATAGCTTTGTGTTCACAGACTTTCAGTGGAGGCTTCTGATCGTCTGTATTCGCTTGCATACAATCCAATCAAATCGCAGGATTTACAAACTTCAATGATACAAGAAATGTAAGTCTTGTAGTCAAGGTATAAGTATGAAGTTTGTATTATCTTGACATTGTGAAGATGAACTTGCCACTGGTCAGGCCATATACACCAATGGTGTCCAAAAGGAGAGTTCTTCTTCCTTTGCTATACTGGTATTACCACAGCATGAAATTGATTTCTTTCCAAATGAACTCATATTTCAATAATAGAGGTAGAAAATAATATGAAATGAATGGAGTTTTACATCCTACTTTTCTGCACTTTGTGAGAGGTAGAAATCAAATATAATTTTTGAAAAGTCTGCCAAACAATCCCTTCAATGTAGTACAAATAAACCAACATCATAGAGTTACTGCCCCTGTGCTAGGAATTGATTTAAATAGGTTCATGTAAGTTTTTTTGCAGCATTATTTTGTATGAAGATGTTAGCAATATCAATTGGCAAATGATTCTTTCAGTTATTTGAACTGCAGTTGCGGTTTCGACACAGGATAACTTGTCAAACATTTGTTGATCTGTGGCTGACTTGGTAATGTTCGGCTTTGAAAAGGAGCACAAAGTTACCTCCCTTATGAAAATTGTAAGACCTGATAATCTTTCTTACGTGACCATTTGATCATTGGAATACCTTCGTAATTAGCTAATTATGAGTTAATTTTTTACTTTAGAGACAAACTGGTATTTTTCATAATAATGAGAACACTTTATATAAGTATTAGCCATCCAACAATCAAATATATATAAAAATAAATGAAAATAACCTGGCTTTAAGATGATGTTACATAAAATAAACAATATAAGCAGTTACAAACAGATTTGCTTAGAGAAAATAGCATAAGATTGAAACTTAAAAGATTATTAAAATTTCGCAGGTTGACAATTCCTCTCATAAGATCACATAAAATGTATCAAATTCATCCATACATCCATCATAGTTAGTAGAAATTTTTTGAAAACATTCCAAACAAGAAACAAATTATATGTCAAAGCCATCACCAAAAATTAGGAGATATTTTTTGCAGGAATGATTACATACTAGTATGAGAAATGATTTGGAAAATGAGGTCGTTCATTTTGTGCGTTTTCGGGGCAATGTAGATAGTGGTTGTTTTAAATCATGAACTACCAGCTAACCACACTGCCACAGAACCACACCCACTCTGTTTCAAATGAGGTGGTGTTCATGATATGATCAATTTGAGTGCAAGAAAGTGAAAAAGGTGGATGAATTGATGGATTGACAGAAAGATGGATGGATGAATTAAGCAGGTTGATTAAATAATATAGGTTGTTTAACGGTTCAACCATTAAAAATAAGATAAGTAAGTTATATAAATTCATTAATTTATATTAATCATTTCATCATCATCATCATCATTATATTTTAGTATCAGGTATTTAATAATATATGTTCAGATGATTTTAAAGGAACGCTACCTCTTAGAATGGATGTAAAATGGTCAACAAGTGTGTATGTTCATCAGTTGGACCAAAGAATAGAATCTATATATAAGATGATATATCCAATAAACTAAATAATTATTTAGTCTAATGAATTATTACTTAGTTATATGGATTTATTGGATTATAGAAGGATTTTTCTGTTGTATAGTTTTAACACCAGGTAAGTCCACTGATGAACAAAGACTCACTTTGGGCATGTTTAAAACTTCAAAAAAATTTTGGGCATTCTAAATGGTAGTATATCTTTAAAAGGGCCTTCAACTGTAATGGATAATTTGAATATTAGCTGTTGTTCAAATTCAATAAAGTTAAAGAAAAACATTTCAAAATAATGAATGAAATCTGCAATATACAAGAGGTGTTTTTGACAGCCAATTTGATTTGGTTTCCATTTGCTAGTAAGATGCAATTTCGATAAGA